TGTTTCTGAAAAATAAATAAATGAAAGAAGAAAGCATGTTCAAGTGGAGGTTTGCTGTGCTGATTTTGTGTTTCTATGAATGGATTTATGTTGTTTCCTTGTGCTTGGGCTTTCAGATTTATAAGTTTATAGGAATTGTTTGATTCTTGTCCCTGTTTTGAATGAATAGCTATGCTATGCTGCATTTTTTTAATCAAAATTCATGTGAATCACAATTGAGTTATACGATTTAGCTTGTATTCGGCATGGATGTTGTTAGCAGTGCTTTTGCTGATTATTTCGGTGAAACTCTTTTTAGGTTTGTTATATGAAATGCTCCAACAGTCAAAAGCAGGATCATCATGGAAGGTACGCTTTAAGCTCACTTCATATATACTTTTATAAATCTCCAAGGCAATATTAAACGTGTAAGAACTCCGGATAGAATTTGGTTACCATTGCATAAATTTTGCTCGATGAGGTATTTGTATGTCAAGAATCGGTTTTCCATAGCTACTGATTTCAACAACTTTGAGGTTTAAGATGCACTGAATACTATATCCAGCACTAGTTTTGCTGCTCAAATACGTGATTATGTGCAGGTACTCATCATGGACAAAGTTACACTAAAAGTGATGTCCCATTCATGCAAAATGGCAGATATCACAGACCAAGGAGTTTCGTGTAAGTGAATTATAGTCCTCGTTTAAGTTGGTTCTACTGCTTCTTTACCATTATTTTAATTTGCAATATTAACGTAGTGTGTTAGTTTACTTTTCTCTTTCATGCAGTGGTGGAAGACCTTTTTAGAAGACGAGAGCCGCTGCCTTCAATGGATGCCATATATTTCATTCAACCTTCCAAGGAAAAGTATTCACTCACATTCTTCTATCATTTTCTTTATCTTTTAGGCTGTTTTTCCATTTCCGTAATTCCACGTACAAAGATTCCCACTTATTATCACTATTGTTCATTACATGTAACAGTGAAACTTTAACCCGAGATTCTTTTCTTAAGTATTTTCTGTGATGTTTAGACTCGTTCGTACTAATTGATTCCAATCATGGAGCTTTTTGTTAATGTCTGCCTTTTGAATCTATAACATGGATTCCTTTGGTTTGATCTTATTCGTGTTTGATTGTGTCTCGTATGACCTTGTCAGTGTCGTCATGTTCTTGTCTGACATGTCTGGAAGAGAACCATTGTACAAGAAGTACGTTAAATTTTTCATCTCCAAACTTCTTGTTTCCTGCTTATTTTGTTATCCGGAAGCCCAATGCTCCTTTTTTTTGCCTTGATATGCAGAGCACATGTATACTTCAGTTCACCTGTTCCAAAAGACCTCGTAGCGCGCATAAAAAACGACTGTAGTGTTATACCGCGTATTGGTGCATTAAGAGAGGTGAGCTAGCAGTATGCACAAGTATATGATTTTAGTTCGACAGGATATCTGGTGGAATATATGTTTTTGTTAATCTTTCAACATGTGCCAAATTGTAGATGAATCTGGAGTATTTCCCGACCGACAGCCAGGTAACTGATGATTCACTTTTCTGTACAAATTCCGAACATGCCCATTTGGAAGCAATGTAAGGGATAGAAGTCAATAATTTTAACCGATGCACGTGTTTTGATGTCAGGGATTCGTAACCGACCATGAAAGAGCACTTGAAGAGCTCTTTGCTGAAAATGCGGAAAATTCCCGCAGATTTGATACGTGTTTGAATGAAATGGCGTTGAGAATCGCGACTGTTTTTGCTTCACTAAAGGTATTAAATCATGTTCTTAACAGTGCCTTTAAAAAACTAAGAGTATGAGCAATCCAAATTGACTGTCACCATTTACCTTGTGCAAGTGCCATTAGAAAATAGCACTCTGTCACCACTAATTTGTTTGGGCCTTATAGCATTGCCAAAATTTTCCTTCCAATTTCCACTAATATGTAAAATTGCACAATGGGGGTTCTGTTTGGTTTTCTATGACATTGTGTCCGTTCTGTTCTGTACTCAATAAAATTTATAATTTTAGGAATTTCCTTTCGTGCGTTGTAAAGCTGCCAAAGGACTTGATGCCACAACAGCCACAAGCGTCCGTGAGTTGATCCCTATGAAGCTGGCTTCAGCAATTTGGAACAATATCTCACATTATAAATCTTCCATCCCCAATTTTCCATCGACAGAAACGTGTGAATTGCTTATAGTGGACAGATCAGTCGATCAGGTACCATCAACCCACAAAATATCTTTTTTTCGGCATGATTCGAATATGTTTCCATTTTTCTCTATTTTTTTAATACTCGTAGACTCATAGCAAGTTTTTTTTCCGTTCCAGATTGCTCCTGTCATACATGAATGGACGTATGATGCAATGTGTCACGATTTGCTTGATCTTGATGGAAATAAATATGTGCAGGAGGTAATTATCTTTCCTTATCCAAGGCCCTTCACTTATTTTTTATTCATTTTTTCCCTCTGTAATGACACATATTGTCTGTAAGATCCCAAGCAAATCAGGTGGCGAGCCTGAACGAAAGGAAGTCCTTTTGGAAGATCACGATCCTGTCTGGCTTGAGCTCAGGCATGCTCATATAGCAGAGGTATTTTCTAGTGCGTGAATGGTCTTTGTTGTGTTTTACTTATTTGAGCTTTCTTAATGTACTTTTCATAAAAATCTCAGGCAAGCGAGAAGTTGCACGACAAAATGACAAATTTCGTCAACAAAAACAAAGCAGCCCAATTACAACAGAGGTTGGTGATCATACATGAATGTGTACTTGTTATTTTACCAAGTAGTCTAACCACAATGCTATTAGCAAATATAATTTGTTATTAGTATTCATGGTTCACCTTTCATTTAAGTATTGCTATGTCATATTTCAGTCTCTGAAATTTAAAACTTCTGCTTTTATGTAGAAATGGTGGTGAGTTGTCCACGAGAGATTTGCAGAAAATGGTTCAAGCTTTGCCACAGTACAATGAACAGATGGAAAAACTCTCCCTCCATGTCCAGGTTGTTTTTCAACTTAGCAAAAAATGGGAATAGGTCCATCGTATTCTTATTGTATAATTTGATCCAACGGATGTCTAAAACCTCGATCGGATGATGTCGCTATGCATTTTGGATTTATGTCGTGTTATTGTATGATGTTATTTTCTTCTGATTAGTTACACATCAGACTAGTGTCATCCATGGCCACATTGTATAGTGGTTGTGACTTATGAGTCATAAATCTCTCTACACATATGTCCATCTTATTCGTTTTTTCATTCAGATTGCAGGGAAAATTAACAACATCATCAGGGATTTGAATCTTCGAGATCTTGGACAATTGGAACAGGATCTCGTATTTGGCGATGCTGGTACAAAGGAAGTCATCAATTTTCTGAGGTCGAAGCAGGTGAACATTATGGTGTCTGCATAAAACATGAACAAAAATGGCAATTTTTGTAGATTTCTATGTCATGCTACGACGATAATTATTCCATTACAATGCAGGATGGGATGTCCGAAAATAAATTGCGGCTTCTGATGATATACGCTGTTGTATATCCGGAAAAGTTTGAGGGTGACAAAGCATTAAAGCTCATGCAGGTTCTTGTTTTCATTCACTTTTACTTTGTTATTTGTTATTTAGTGTATTCATTAACACAGCATACAAGTTCATGCATGTTTCAGCTGAACTTAATGGGAGTTGTTTGTTTCTTTTATGCTTCCTCAGTTGGCAAAGCTGACACGCGCGGACATGAAAACCGTTAAGAATATGAAATTGCTCGAGGGATCGAATACGAAAAAGGCTTCTCATGGGGCTTTCTCTCTAAAGTTTGATACTGCAAAGGTTAATATTTTCAACTGCATTAAGAGCTTAGAGGACCGTATAGTATACCTACAGGACAAAAAGTCTCGGATGTAGCGTGTAGAATTGATTTCTGATATTCGCTGCTGATTTGGTTATCAGAGGAAGCATGCGGAAAGAGTGGATCGAACTGGAGAGGAAGAGACGTGGGCTCTATTTAGATTTTATCCGAAGATAGAGGTTTGTTTAAAGATTATTCGCAATTTATTTATTTTTTAATTGGATCTCTTTTGTAAGTCGATATCCTTTCGACTTTGGAACTTTTTCAAAATCATTTTCCCTAACATGTGTGGTGGTGCTACATGTGTTAACAGTTTTTGTGTTTTTCTTTCACAGGAGTTGATTGAAAAGTTAAGTAAAGGAGAACTGCCGAAAGACGAGTACCAATGCATGAACAGTTCCGGTTCTTCCAACCAGGGGACTCAAGGGAACAGTGGACCACCACCTGGCGCACCAGGTAGACCAGGCGCAACAGGTGCACCTCATTCCATGAGATCAAGAAGAACCGCTACGTGGGCCCGGTCCCGAACTTCTGATGATGGATATTCAAGGTAAACCTCGCATTTTCTCAGATTGTTTTATAAGATATTAACTAAGAAGATTGTGATTGCAATTTGATATTTTTTCCCCTCCGCTTTGTACTCAATTCATGCATTCAAGATAATGTTTCTCCTGTTATAATTTTCCAGTGATTCGGTCTTGAGAAGTTCATCGAGCGATCATAGAAAGATGGGGCAGCGCATTTTCGTATTTATAATTGGTGGGGCGACCCGATCTGAGGTGAAAAAAAACGGAAACTCTAAATTCTTTTCCTTTCTCAGCATTAAAGGTTTCTTTCGGATATTACATTTAATTATCTAAGGTAAAATATTCATTCTGTCCTCAGCTTCGTGTTTGCCACAAACTTACGGCAAAGTTAAGGAGGGAAGTCGTTCTTGGTACGACCAGTCTCGATGATCCGCCTCAGTACATTACGGTAAAGCCTTAAACCTTTGTACTTCATTATCTAAAAAAAACTTTAGTCCACATTTCATTTCCTCTTTATTCCTTTCTATACTGTTTCTTGCAGAAACTCAAGCTGTTGTCCGAGAAGGAGCTTTCGATGGAAAACATTAATATTTGAAAAGTGTTCGAGTCTTTTCTTGGATCAGACAGCAAATAGGTTGGTTCTATGTTATGCAAGATGATGGTCCCTTGTACATTCTCGACGTCATTATTTATTCTTCATTACTTTTATAGAGTTACATTTTCCTTTTTCATTTCTGTTGTTTACGAACACGAAATCCTCTGAACGATGCCTAGAATGAGTTAGTAACACGAATCGGCAAAACGGTGACTCGTTTTCTTGCACACGAGTGGAGGAGATAGAGCAAGATCCCTTTTTTGGGTATATCGTGAGTCTTAAATTAGCATTCGACTAGGCATATAAATTCAGATTAACTGTGGAAATTATATGCTTCCTTCCCAGTGTCTGGTTGTAAAGTTTTCTCTCTCTCTCTCTTTCTCTCTCAAGAAATAAAGGACTTCGTCAAAATCTTGTTGACAGCCTTTTATACTGTAAAGCAGTTAATTGCAGCTTTAAATTTGTATAAAAAAGCAGCGCTGAAGATATTGTTCGAATTTACATTATGTTCATATTTTTTAAGATATGTGGTGATCTTTAGAAGAAACAAGAAGAAAAAAGTGAGCATCTTGAATATGTATATAGTATAGTGAAGAATGGATGATAAATTTCTAATTTGGAAAATATATCAGTGAGTAGTACTATGTGATATATTTGTATGTTAGTGTAATGAGGTTGCAAAGGGAATCAGTGATCACTGAGCACACTATATATCACACTATATATTCAAATTATTTATAGTGTTCATATATTAATTAAATAATAATAATTAGAAAACTCACCTTTTGTTTAAGTTAAAACATTGCCAAAGAAGCATTTTTACACACAATATTTCAAAATGTTTCATATCTTATCATCTTATAACAAAAAGTAAAAAAAAAAAAAATATATGTTCGTATCACTCAAATAACAGGTTTAACTTTGTTACCGAACTCGATCCACATCATTTGAATGACCCGATTTATCAGTAATATAATTTGGTAGGCTGTGAACTGAGCAGCCCAGCCCAAAAAACAACCCTGAGCAGCCCAAAAAACAACCCTATAGTCATCACCTATAAATTCATTTACATGTTAATAAAGTTTACGAATATTACATTTTACGGTTTACCAATTATTAATTTATAATTTATTTTATGAACAATAAATTATTTATTTTGTTTTTTGATATATAACTCATTTATTCATTTACGAATTATTTATGCATATTTCATTCTAAAAAATAAATAAAATAAAATAACAGTCGTGTTTTACGAAAAATAAAATAAAAAATATAATATGTAAAAGGACCTACATTTCAACGTAGTGCACGGCAGAGTCGAACCCTCCGTTTCCGTGTCAACTGTAGCCACTTGAAAACGCTCATGCTAAAATGCGTCATTAGCTGAACAGTGTTATTCTCCTTCCATTTTCTCACGAGCTGAAGCACTGCGGTTCTTCAAACGATTTCATCCCCAAGTTCGCTTTTGCAACCCGTAATTCTCAAATTTCCGAGCAATTTTAGCTGCAGGCATTTTGGAAATGGATGGAATTCTCGCAGTCGGCGCGTTCTCTGTGATAATCGGAGCTTTGGTCGCGTTCCTGGCGTTCGGCAGCTATTTCCGGAAGAGGAAATCTGAAATTCAATCCATTGCGACGCCAGAAACTCGTAATCCGAACCCGAAGCCTAATTCGAAGACCGTGGTTGTGAAGAAGCCCCAGCTCAAATCTCACTCGCACTCTCATGCAGCCGATAAAGTAAGTATTTCCGATTCACGCCTGGTTTAATTGTGCGGTTTTCGTTAGGTTTTAGGTGTTTGATCGATGATCTGCCGTATTTTTGTGTTGTTTGGATTTGTAGGATGCTAGTAAGAAACATCATCGTTTGGATTTGAATACTTTGAAAGGGCATGGAGACGCTGTCACAGGTCTTTGTTTTTCGCCCGATGGCCGGAGCTTAGCAACTGGTGAATGTTTAGATTTTAGTTTCAGCATTGTCATTTTTTATATTTCTTTAAATACATGGCGTGAGTAGGAACAGCTTATTCATGTGCAATCCTGCAAAACTGTGAGCTTATGGAAAATGTTTTTATTGTTTCAGATCGAATGTTATTGTATTGAATCTGAAGTTATTTATGCACTGATTGTTTATACAGCTTGTGGAGATGGTGTTGTCAGGGTTTTCAGGTTGGACGATGCTGCAAGCAAAAGTTTCAAGTACTAATCTCTGATAACTTGTTTTTCTCGAGCTTTCTCAAACTTGCTGCATCTTAATTCAGCCAATTCTAATAATGATGGTGGCATCTGTTTAGGTTTCTGAGAATTAGCCTGCCTGCTGGAGGTCATCCAACTGTGCTTTCATTTGCTGGTGACTCGTCATCTGTAGTGGTGGCCTCCCATGCGCTATCAGGATCATCCCTTTATATGTATGGATATGAAAAACCTAAATCAGCTGGCGAGCAAAAGCAGCAGAGCAAGCTGCCTCTCCCTGAAATCAAATGGGAACATCACAAAGTGCATGATAAGAGGGACATAATCACTCTGGTTGCGACCAAGGCGACTTATGGCAGTGCTGATGGTAGTACAATTGTTTTGTCTTGCTCTGAAGGTACTTCCTGGGCTGATTTTAACAGTTTGCGACTGGATATTGAACTTCAATGAGGGAACTTCTAACTGTGTGACCGTATCTGTATATCATGGTTATATAGGTTTTCTTGTCTCTGTGTGGTTAATGTTAAGATTTTCAATAGTCTGTGGTTTTAGCAATGAATGTTTAGGCTCATGAGTATGATTTAATCTGTAGCTCTTTCCTATAAATATTCTATAACCCTTTTTTCTCTTTAATTTTTTCTTAAAGACCACCAGCATGCATGCTTCCGTTTTATGTAATTTATAGATGTGATAAGATGCATTTAGTATGTTGTGCTCATGGGTCATTGTGATTCGAGATGATATCCGTTGCTTTAGTAACTCTGCGACAAAATGAACTTTTCTATTTTGCTTTGTCAGGCACTGATATTATGCTCTGGCACGCAAAAACTGGGAAGGTGTTGGGTCATGTTGATACAAATCAGCTTAAAAACACAATGGCCACTGTTTCTCCAAATGGCCGTTTTATTGCAGCTGCTGCATTTACTGCTGATGTGAAGGTGGCTGTTATTTCACGCTTGAATTTAGTCGACATGATTTTTTGACTTTCTGCATTTAATGTTCCAGTTATCGATCTCCTTTAGATTATTCGTATATAACATTCTTTGAATGGTATGGAGTAGTTTGTAGTTTCTTTTACGTCCACGTTTCTTATCCAATGAAAAACTTTTAAAGATGAAACCCGTCCTTAGAATGGAATCATGCTAAGTTGTTTCCTCATTTATTTTGATTTTGCTAGTGTTCTGTTCTTGAGTTCTAAAAAACATCACTGATCATGATAGCTTTTTACCTTACAGGTCTGGGAAATTGTGTATTCAAAAGATGGTTCAGTGAAGGAGATTGTGAAAGCCATGCAGCTCAAAGGTCACAAGGTGGTTGTCATATGCATGCTTTACAACTCTTTCTGTGTTGTCTTTTTCTCCATACTTCCTTTGTTTCGCTGGTACCATGCAGTGTTTATTTAAGTGTGACATACGAGACTTGTGCTCTGCCTGCTTTCTCTTGTGGCAGATTAGTCTGGACCTGAGATTTTAATTTTTGTTAATTTGTTTTGAGATATACCTGTGTCTTAGTCTCGTGAATAATTTGTGATGAACTATCCCTATTTGCATAGGAATTTTATATGGAACTTGATTCCTTATACTGACGTAGTAATGCTGAATGTTGACTGCTTGTGAATGTAGCGGCTCAAATTTCACTTGAAAGATTGTTTACGTTGAGCCTAGAAACATTGCTCCTTTTAATTCCTGTTCTACATTTGTTTTACATTCAGATTTACATTCTTTCGATTTGAACATAATGCACGACATACACTTTGACATAATACACATTTGACATGATCCTGTTGTTTTACATATCGCGTCATCTTTATAATCAACAATCCCTATACTCACACATAATTCTATGTCAACCATTATGTCAAAATTTTATGTCATTTTCATGTAGCATCGCGGTCATATTTCAAGTTTATAGTCTGAAGCCCTGATTTTTTCCCTTTTGTTTCTTCCTCCTCCTTCTCCATTCCATATATTTTTAACATTTTCTTCTGGTTTGATGTTCAGAGTGCTGTCACTTGGCTTTGCTTTGGTCCAAATTCGGAATACATTATCACAGCGTCTAAGGATGGTACAATAAGAACATGGAATATCAATGGTATGAATAGTTTTGGAACTTTTTAGTAGAATTCTTTTGGAACTTTGAAATAGATGAACAATTCTTATAGGATTGTTATGGTTGCATAGCATGGAGCTTTTACCACTGTCAATTTTAAAAAATTGTGATACTGACCTATAGTAGCATCTTAAAAAAGGTAGTAAAGATCTCACATAGGATGATCTTTTATGTCTGAGCATTACTTCCCTTAATCTAGATATTGTTAATGTAGTAACTACTAAATATCTGCTTCCTTGTTATAATTTCTATGTCAATTTTATTTTACTGACTTAGTGTCTGTCTCACAAATCACAAAGTTCGGTATCATCTGGACGAGGACCCAAAGACTTTGAAGGTGTATCCGATTCCACTTCATGATGCAAGTGGCACTACTTTGCATTATGACCGTCTCAGTCTATCTTCTGATGGAAAAATACTGGCGGCGACTCATGGTTCAACGTTGCAATGGCTGTGTGCTGAGACGGGACAGATTTTGGAGACTGCTGAAAAGGCCCATGATGGTATTATTGCCTATTCTTAAATCTGCTAGCATTGTGTTCTTCCTGAGTCTCACATTTCATAATGTACAGTTTTCACCTGATCTTGAGTATGGGATTGTGGGAAGTTATGGTCTCTTTATGGTGTAGTTATGGAGTTGCTGAAGTTGGTTAAAGTACTAAATCTTTATTACTTTTCAACTTCCCACAAACTGAAAGAATTTATCTGTATTTCGGAATGGAAACCAAAAGTTATTTTGACTGGTAACTCGATTTAGCGAGCCTTAAGGTGATTGTATGTTGGCAAAAGCTGTGAATTTGTACTCTAGTTGATAGTATAAACAGTCAGGATGGGGAAGAAAAACATATGTTATAGTCATTAATCCGTGTTATGAAGCATTATGCTGTGATTACGTTATGTGGTCCATTCTCTTGAAATTTAGGCTGCAGTGGAGGTGCACCTTGCTTCTACTGTGTACAGTGGCTAAAATTGGGAACTGATGAATAGAACTTAGATTTGCCTTCAGTAATTTTACTCGAGCAAAACTGTGATGCAGGTGATATTACGGACATGGCATGGGCACCTACATCTATTCCATTGGGTAATTTTCTTTCATGTTTCCATAGTATTCCTGTCATATACATGGCAAAAACATATGTTATGCTATCATATTTCTATTTTGTTTTGGTGAATGGGTAGGGGTATTTTGCAAGTAATGTTCAACAAGCATTTCATATGAAGTAAACATACTAGCTCAAATCCCAATTAACATTGTATTGTCTATTTCTTTCAGAAAATAAACCCGTGCCTGTCTTGGCTACGGCCAGCACCGACAAGAAAGTCAAGCTGTGGGCAGCCCCACCACTTCAATCCTCCTGAGAGAAAAATGGCAACAAAAGTAAAAGGAAAAAGAAAAAGAAAAAAGACCATCAAACTTGAGCTAGGCACAGAATTCTGATCTCTGAAAAAGTTAATCGGTTGGCTGTGTAGTTTACAAAATACTGATCTCTCGAAAGAGTTTGAACGGCGACCAGAGGATTTTCGTTTCTTCTCTTTTGTCTTAATTTCTTTTTAATGGTTTGCTTTTAGAAAAAAATTATGATCCGAGGAAACACTTTGCTTCTGCAGTTTTAGTGAGAGTGTTTAGAGTTTGTTCTAACTTTCTGTTTTAGCATATGATGGGAGTGTAAGATCTATACTAG